TTAAAAGAAGTCATAAAAGCTCTCTGAAAATAAAAAAAATTGTTTGACCAAGACCTTAATGCCTTAAAAAAGGTTGCAAATGACAAGTAAAATTAAAAATTGAGAATGGAAATGGGGAATGTGTCGAAGAGACAACAAACCCAACCAAAGAGCAGAAAACAGCCCAAGGCCACCAATGGGTCTTCAACACAGCGATAAAATCCCGGCCACGCCCGGAGGCGGGCTTTAGCTGGCGTCTATACAAAAATGTGTACTAGTTTAGAATGACAAGGCCATTCTTATGTCCAAATTTCCCAAAGATCCTCTAGTGCGTGGATTATTTTTCAAATTGAATAAAAAATATGCAAAATTAAGGAAAAGGAAAGAGTTCAAACAGAGTATCTTAGGCCGTCTTGAACATTTACAGTCTGATAATCCAAAAGAATATTGCTCTCTTGTTTTAATTCATTGCGAGAAGAGAAAAAGTCTTCAACTGAAAATGCAATTGATGGGATACATGGTTTAATTATTCTTCAAAATTAACTTCCATCTCCCAATATACTTCTGACAGAGTTGATGAAATTAAAAGAAAGCTGAAAGAAGTTCAAAACAAAATAGGAAGCTTTTCCCAACTTTATATTGAAATTTCTATTTCTGAACTTCAAAAAGCTATGTCTAAACTAAAAAGGGATAAATGTCCAGGTATGGACAACATAAGTAACGAGATACTGAAAGCATCTCAAACTTACATGAATAAATGTTGTTTTTTTTAAGTCGTTCAATGCAATTTCTAGATCTAGTTATTATCCAAAGTATTGGTCAGAAAGTTTTATTTGTCCTTTGTATATATCTGATGACCCTGGAAAACCAGAGAACTACAAGGTCATTGCTATAACGATAGTATTGGTAAGCTTTTTAATACCATAATGAACAATTTACTGAACAAATTTCTATTAGAACATAAATTAATACACGAAACCCAAATTGGATTCTGTAAAAAATCAAGAACATCAGATCATGTTCTTGTGCTAAATGTATAATAGATAAATATTTGAATTGTGGCAACAAAAATTATATTCATATTTCGTTGATTTTCGGAAAGCTTTCGAAAGAGTTGTTCACGTTGGTATTATGTTAAAATTGCTACATAATAATATAGAAGGTAATTTTTTAATAGAATTTTGAACAGCATGTACAACAATGATAATTTATGTGTGAGATTTTATCAAAAGATGACTAACTTCTTCAATTCAAAGGTTGGTGTACGTCAAGCGGTGTTTTAAGTTCAAATTTGTTTGAATTATTTTTTAATGAGCTACCTTCAGTCATAGAAAGTAACTGTGAATGTGTTACTTTAGATAATTCAAAAATCCCATGCCTTCTTTATGCGGACGATTTAGTTTTACTTTCAAACTCTAAATAAGGATAACACGATCACTTAACAATTTTATCCAAATACTGTAAAGAATGGTGTATAGAGATTAATATCAAAAAGACCAAAGTTATTATTTTTAATAGAAATGGTCGATTGCTTACAGAAGATTTTTGTGTAGGACAGGATGATATACAATGTGCTAAATCTAATAAATATCTTGGAATGGTCATGTGTAACAATGGCAAGTTCAATGAAGCAAAACAAATTGTATGAAAAGGGACTCAAAGCTAGTTTTAAATTTCATAACAGAACAAAATCAGCAGTGTCATCTGTTCCAACCATTTTATATATTTTTGATCATACTATAAAGCCAATTTTACTTTATGGCTGTGAAAAATGAGGACTCATAAAGCTGACCCAAAAAAGAAAAGATATTATAAGTTATCTACGTTCATATCCGTAGATATGGGTATTTTAACGCCCTGAAGTATCCCAGTACACCCTGAGGCAAAGCCAGAGGGTGTACAGGGTACTGAAGGGTGTAAAAATACCCATATCTACGGACATGAACGTACATAACGAATTTATCCCCGGTCTTAGTCCGAATCTGCCGAGTTTTAGGAATTTCTAACACAAAGTGTAACGTGAAAGCAACGTTTTTTTTTCATTGATTAAAAACGTTTTATTGAAATTTGGAAATTTGACATATTTTGACGGGGTGTAGGGTTCTATAGCTACCCTTTGGTAGAACCCTACATGTTGTCAAATATAAGACGTTTTTAATCCAGAGACACAGAAACTGGAATTAATCAAATTTGGCGGTCAATGTTTCGAGTGTTACATCATAGACGGCGTGACGTCAACGTGGGTCATTTGCATAGCTAGGTCAGTAGTAGCGTTCATTGACGACGTGGCAACCAAGTGATGCATGTACTAAAATGAATGCAAATGATCAGCATTATAGGATAAAATCGTTTGTGTATTACATATTTAACTACAGACATCAAGGATAATTTACAAAATTCAATTTTCCACTGGGAACAACCATGGAACTAAGGAAAACGCGCGTGAAGTTTCCCGGGGGTAATGGGTATCAACGCCCGCGTATATGGGTTAGCAACACCCGGGGCTATGGGTTTTTTAACGACGAGCGTTAGCCAATCAAAATCCGAGAAATATACAAATATATATTCGTTCCCTATTGTTAATTTTCCTTTTTTGGACGGTGATGTTCCTTTGGCAACATCTTACGGTGTTTATATATCACAACTCGTTCGCTATGCCCGTGTCTGTTGTAAAGTTTTGGGTTTCAATGAACGTAATCTATGTATTACTGGTAAATTATTAAGTCATAGATTTCGTTACCACAAATTACTTAAAACCTTTACTAAATTCTTCCATAGATATAAAAATTTGGTTTTGAAGTTTGGTTGTACCTGTAGAAAACTTATTTCAAACGTAATAACACATCCTCATTTTTACGGAGATGTTGTTTTCCGAGCCCGGAAATTAGGAAACGATCCGGGTAAACTTATCGATCCTTTAAATAAACTTATTCTAAAAGGTTACCAATTCAACGCTGTAATAAGATCTTTGAATATTGTTTTTATTGGTATAATATCGATTTTGTCATCAGTAAATTAAAATTTAACTAAATATTATTTTATATACATATGCACATTCGTGGTACTACAATCTGTCGATACCTGTATCTTGGCATTGCACAAGGTCATGTTTTTCTCTTACTGTTTGACGTCTTTACACTAAATCCATTGGATGTTGGATGTGTAGCGATTGATATTTTAGTCTATTATGCATGATTTTTTTCATTAGTTGTTATTGGCTTTGAACTCTCAGATCTGTACTTTTATGTCTTTCTGTTGTGTGGATGCACAAGTACCCGTCCAAGTCCACTCTGTATTTATGTTAGATGGGTTTTTATTTGTATCCATCTGACGAGTTAAGCCTTTTTTAACTGATTTTTACAGTTTGTTCTTATGCTGTACTGTTACACCACTTTCTCAGGTTAGGGGAGGGTTGGCGCCTTGAAATTAGTTTAACCCAGCCACATTCTGTTTGTGCCTGTCCAAAGTCAGGAGCCTGTAATTCAGTGGTTGTCGTTTGTTGCTGTGTAACACATTTGTTTTTCGTTCATTATTTAGTACATTTTTAATTAGGCCGTTGGTTTTCTCGTTTGAATTGTTTTACATTTGTCATTTCGGGACCTTTTATAGCTGACTATGCGGTATGGGCTTTGCACATTGTTAAAAGATACGGTGACCTATAATTGTTATTTTCTGTGTCATTTGATCTCTTGTGGAGAGTTGTCTCATTGGCAATCATACCACATCTTCTTATTTTTATATAAGCCGGGGATAATTCCTTATATGATATATATGTTGTGTACAAGATGCAAGTTTGTACAAATTATAATTTGAACAGGGTTTTTGTACACGTTATAAGTTTTTTTGACACATACCTTTTTGCACCATGTGATAAAAGTTTATCTTTTAAAATTTATCAGCTTAATATTTTAAATTCAAATTTATATACTTCAACCTAACATTTCGTATACTATACTTTTCTCCTTGTCCTAAAACTGGAAATAAGGACACCTAAATGCTTTAAATTCTATTTTTATTTTTCTCCTTATACCAAAATCATATCCTTAAAAAGTCGTTTTGTGTTCTTATAATGTTTTTTGTACCAATGCTCAGTATTAGACTGTATCATGTAGTCATGGAAATATGACAGAAATATGCGAAACAAAAGACTGCGTGCTTGTATCATCCATTTGATTTAAGCGGTTCATAAAACATTGATAACATGTACAAATATTCTGTGAGAATTATAATTCGTACAACATTACAATTTGTACACAACATATACAAAGATTGTGAGCAAGAGAAACTAAATATCAAATTTTATAAATACATTCTTGGTGTAACAAAAAATTGTACAAATACTGGTGTTTTATCTGAACTGAGACTTTATATTGATAGTGTTTAACCCACATGTGTATGTATTGACATCGCCTTGTAAACTCACCTACAAAGCTATTGTCTTCAGCTTTCAATGAATATCATACAGGAGAGGTACTTACAACCAATTCCTGGTATAATGCAAATAAATTCTTCATTGATATTTTAAATTTTGATCTCTCTATTTGCCAAAAATATAGTGAAAACAAATTAAAGAGGTTGCTAAAAGAATTTGCCTCAAATTAGATTTTATTAAGAATTGGAAAAGCATAAGAGATCCCATGTCTCATGATGAGCACAGCAAATTGAAAACCTATTTTAATTTCAAACTCGACTAAAATTTTTGTTAATATAAAAAAACTACAAATTATAAAGATTCAAGGATTATGTAGATTTAGACTAAGTAATCACAGTCTCAGAATTGAGAGAGGTCGTTATGAAAGAATATTTTGTAGTCAAGGAAAAATTGGTTGTACTACCTCGTCAGGACAGAATATGCAAGTTTTCAGCTCACTCAACTTGGCTGCAGATGAAGCTCATTTCTTATTTACATGCCCTCTATATAATAATATTAGAGAACATATCATAATAACAATTTTCATAAATTTCATAACTTGAGGAAATTGCATAAAGCTGATCTTTTGATCTGGATAATGAATAGAATAAAATAGAATATTTTTATTTCCCAAATTACAGGGCCCATAAAGACCATAAAATCAGTTACAATTGATTGACATAATTGATAATTACAACAATAAACATCACAGTGTATATGTAAATGTATATTTAGTATATTAGCACTGGTCAGAATCACAGCCAACAACAATATATATATTGTGAATAAAAGAATAAAATTACATTATATGCATTCATTCTCAAATTATTTACTAGACTTAGTGTCAATATTCATACCTGATCTCCTTTATTCAAAACAGTCTCCAACATAACGAATCCGGGTCCGTTCGCCCTGATTCACGTTGCCCTAGTACATGTACCTGTTCGTCCAAATACCTGTTCGCCCTGGGTCCGTTGGCCCTGATACCCGTTCGCCCTGGGTCTGTTCGCCCTGTTTTTTATTTTATTTTGTTGTCTTGTTGTTTAATGTAAAATATTTGAATAAAGTATGTTTAAGTTTGTTCAAAATTTCGCCGAATATTGATGTTGTAATGCTGCCACCAGATAATTATTTTTCTTTGATTTGTACTGAAGTGTAACGTCACAGTACCCAAATTGCACCAAGTCCCATATTGCACCTATTTAGCAAAAGAAGCAGCGGAAATCTTACAGTTATTTTTAGAGACTAAAACATTTTGTATTTTTATGATTTGACATTATGCACGTCTCTCAACATAGCTAAATATATGTAGATATGCACAAAATTGTCACTGTATATATCATCAGATGACGTATTCACTGGAAAAAGTAAAATCTATGGAAACGTAGCCATGCGACGTTCACTAAAAGTCATCTTTTAAAAATTAGCAAATAAAACATGTCACAAGCATCCATTTCTTAAAAAAATAAAAAGTAAGCATGGACTTATGTCACACTGTTCTAAATATCTGAAGAAATAAAACAAAACATCTGTTATTCGAATGTAAGCATGGATGCATTTGGATACTCCTCATTACAGAATCATGGATCGTTTGGAGGTCGGTTCAAACCCATTTTTCTATGATTCAATATGGATTCAAAATTTAATTGGTGGAATTATATAGTAAATATATAAGAATACATCTACAAAATAAACCCAGAATGGAAACTTTTGTCTGGATCATAAGTAAACGTAGGTAAAAAAAACTGTCAAAATAGGTGCAATTTGGGTACTCTCGCTTTACAGGGATTCAAGATATTTAATATATTAAAACAACTGAAAATCAAGTTATCTGTTTGTATTTTTTCATACAGTTGAACAATTTCAACAACAGTAATAATAAGATCCAACTCGAACTTAGTCATTCGCATCCTCAGTTCATTTCACACACCAATTATTTCATCACTATTATTTTGAAGAGCATGATGATGATTGGTTTTAGGGTCCGGCTATCCTTTTGGATATTGCGGACTAATGTACGAAATTACAGATTTGGATCTGCCTGCCTTTTTGCTTTCATCTTACTCCAACTGCGATGTTGTTGCTGGTACAGAGTGTTTGGCCGTTCTGACAGTATGGCAGCTTCTATAGCTTCTTTGCGGTTGTGTGGTCAGTAGGTCAGTTTGTCGATGTCAAACCCTTCATCAACGTCGATCCTACTACGCCTGCCTTTTTCTGTTGTCGACGTGTTATAAATACATGTAAGGCTTTTTCCTGGATAATGTGTCCGGTTCCTTAGCCTTGATCCAAGTGAGCTGTACAGAGACCTGGTCAGAGCTGGCGGTGAATTTCCATTCCGGCTCTTTTGCATCCAACTTCATAGTTACAAGTAAGGCTACATACAGCAATCGTTTAATTATCTAAAGGAATATAGTTTGAACGAAATTGAATAAAGCGTATCGAAACACGCACATTAAAATAAGGCGTATCGAAACATGCATATAAAAAAAATAACAAAACTATTTACAAAAACGCCATTGAATACTTATTCTGAACTCTTGAAACTATAGAAAATACTTGAATTAAAAGAATGTACTCTTGTAACTATTATTAAATATATCGTGTATAAAGTATTCCCTTTAAATTGCGCAACTAACTTAATTAAGATAAACTGTTAAGGCTTCTACTATATCTATAAAAATAATGTAATTTATGAACTGGAAAGTATAAATGCAAAATACATAAATATGAACAAAAATGCTACTTATTCTGTCTTAAAACTTTGTAATAAAATCTTAGTATAAAGAAATATAAATAAATATGAACAAAAATGCTACTTATTCTGTCTTAAAACTTTGTAATAAAATCTTAGTATAAAGAAATATAAATAAATATGAACAAACATGCTACTTATTCTGTCTTAAAACTTTGTAATAAAATCTTAGTATAAAGAAATATAAAATAAATAGTTTAACTTCACATACTTGGAAGAAGATGCTGATGGAGACATGCGAAAAGCCATGAGTATACCTGGAAGGAGTTCTGCCCAATTAGATTGATTTTCATCTACAATGGTTCTTAAACATTGTATGACAGTCTTGTTTGTTCGTTCTGCAACTGAATTGGTCTGAGGATGGTATGAACTTGTGAAAAAGTGTTTCACATTATAAATTTGTAATACAGCAGAGACAAGATTACTCATAAACCCTTGACCACGATCTGAAACAAGGCTAGTGGGACTTCCGTAACGGGAGAATACCTCTTTGTGAAGAACATTTGCAATTTTTTCAGCTGTTTCAGATCTCACTGGAAAAGCCTCTGTCCTTTTGCTGAAAGCACATACTACAATAAGAATATGGCGATGACCTAATTTGGTTTCTTTGAAACGACCTATGAGATCAATGTGCCATCTTGCGAAAGTGTCTGTAATAGGCATTGGAGTTAACGGAACTCTTTAAGTATGAACATGTGGTTTAGCTCTTTGACAAGAATCACAGCCTCTAATGAAATCTGCCACTGCCTGATACATACCAGGAGAGAAGTACTTTTGTTTGATAGCTAAATAGGTTCTGTCAAAACCAAAGTGCCCTATTTCATGATAGGATTTGAGAAGATCATTTCAAAATTGACGAGGACATGCAAGTTGTTTTACAAAAAGGCCTTTCTTTCTGCCTCGTGTTCTTGGCTGGTAAAAATGGTACAAGATACTGTCTAATAATGCATACTGACTTGCTTCTAAGCAAATTTCTTTGCCAGTTTTGTTTCATCAGGAAGTGTGCCATTTTCAAGGTATGCATAGACATTTTTAAAGGCAAAACATTCTTTTTGTAAAGGACCTATGTTTTCTGGCATAACTTCAGTGTGAGTTTCTTGTATTTGTGTTGGCTCAGGATTTGTTTCTATCACTGTATCATCAGCATTTTCAGAAGAAACTGCCATAACAGAAGGAATGGAAGAATGTGTAGGAGTGTAAACAAAATTTACCTGTAAAGGCTCTGAATTTTCTTGTGAACTGATAGAAGTAAGATTTACAGAAGGAATGACATCTTTAGGTTCAGAACTAGATTGAAAATCAGAGTACTCTCTTTTCAAGAGGCAATCAGCATTCCCATTTTTCTTCCCTGGACGAAAACAAATGTCAAAACTGCATCCCTGAAGAAGTACAGACCATCTTGCTAAACGACCTGTGGACTGTTTCATGTTAGTTAACCACTTAAGAGCTTGGTGATCTGTGTAAACCTTGAGATTACTGTTTGCTAAGTAAACATGATATGATTTGATACCTTCTAAAACTGCAAGACATTCCAATTCACTGAAACCCCAGGCTCTTTCACCTTGTGTCAATGACCGACCTCCATAAGCAATGACCTTTTACTGACCTTTGGAATCTAACTGACCTAATATGTATCAATAGCTGTGCCTCTGGCATCAGTAGTAAGAATGAAAGGTTTGGAAATATTAGGATAAGCAAGAATAGGTGCAGAGCAAAGAGCCTTTTTGAGCTGATCAAATGCCTTTTGGCACTTTTCTGACCATTCAAAAGGAACATCATTTCTCAGAAGGTGGTTGAGAGGTGTTGGGATGTGACTGTAGCCTTCAATGAATGCTCTTTAGTAATTTGTCAAACCAAGAAAAGAACGAATTTGTTTTTGGTTTTTAGGAACCGGAAATGAACTCACAGCATCTACCTTTGATTTGTCTACTTTGACACCTTCTTTTGAAATTGTATGACCTAAATAAATCACTTCCTTTCTAGCGAAAAGACATTTTCCTGGTTTAAAAGATAAGCCAGCAGAAATAAGATTGTCAAAGACTAACTGAAGATGATTAAGATGTTCCTGGAAGGATTTGCTGAAATCAAGGATGTCATCAACATAGGCAAGAGCTATTTTGTAATTCAGAGATCTGAGGACTTGTGTAAGCAAATGTTGAAAAGAGGAAGGTGCAGAAGCCAAACCAAATGGTAACCGCTTCCATTGGTAGACACCACTAGGAGTTACAAAGGCTTCTTTGTGTGCAGTTTGGGGTCAAGGCCAAACTGCCAATCAAACTGCCAATATCCAGATAGAAGGTCTAAAGTACTGGAAATAGAAGCTTAGGCTTTGCCAAGTGCATCGAACACATCCTCCAGCCTCGGTAAAGGAAATCAATTTTGACGCGTGCATCTAGTCAGTAACCTATAGTCCACACAAAACCTCATCTCCCCTGATTTCTTCTTACACATAACAACTGGCCTTTGCCATTCACTATTAGACTCTTCAATAATGTCATGTTTCATTATTTGTTCAATTTGACGGTTCATTTCTTCGAAAACTTGTGGAGTTTGCCTATAAAATCTCTTTCTAACAGGAGGAGCACCATCTGTTTCAATTACGTGTTGATAAATGTGAGTGCGCCCAGGTTCACTAAAGTTTTCAGCAAAGACTTTTCTATTTTTGTGAAGGAAAATTGTTAATAAGTCTATTTGTTCTTCAGTAAGATCTGAATTGCTTAAGTTAAATTGTAGGACATTTTGGTCATTTTCAGTGTGAACTTTGGACTTGGAATTGTCAGGATTTTGGACTTTATCATTGTTCTCAGACATTGATATTATATCTTCTGAATTAACAGGAGTGACTGCAGCAACAACATAATTTGCAGGAAGGAAAATTTTGTCTTTAGTTAGATTCATTATTCTTAAGCACGACTGATTTGAATCATCTAAAGAAACACAACATTTTGCACCAGCAAGAGACATTTTTGGTAAAGATGGCAAAGGTTCTAGTAAAGCAATCTGATTCTTTATAGAAAAAACGCTAATTGGAATATTAGGCTGATGAAAAGGAGGAATAAAAGTACCACTCACTGTCCTAGCAAGACCTGAATTCAACTCCAAAGCATTTAGAGTATTTGAACATGAATCAGGAATGAAAATAGTCTCACTATCACATATGATATGAGCCTTAACATCATGTAAAAAGTCGAAACCAAGAATCATTTGATGGTGTAATTTGTCAAAAACATGAAAATTATACATGTATCTCATAGCAACATTGCCTAAAATAAGAGGAAGAGACACTAACCCAAGTACAGAATGAACTTCACCTCCAACACCCATAGCACTTTTAATTTTTGAATTTTCTATTTTATCCTTACTTATTCCTAAGAATTGGAGTAATTGGGCAGAACAACAACTCATTTGTACACCTGTGTCAACTAGACATGTGCCACAAACTTCAATTTACATTTTGTTCCCTGATACGTTCATTAACTGTGCAATTTCTGGAACTTTATTTTGCTGCATATTTTTGTTTTCACCAAAAGAAGTATGAGTTTTGAAGGAAGGAGGGGTCTGGGCTTGTCTCTTCTGTCTCTTTGAAGAGTGCCTACCCAGGGACTGGATAGGCTCGTGTCCCTATTGTGAAGAGTTAGGATGACGTGAAGGAAAGTTTCTACCCTGAGAAGGTTGGGGTTGCCTATTGTTGCTCCTAGGATAACTTCTAAGGTTTAAACCACACACCTCTTTGAAGTGACCTATTCTGTCACATTTGAAACACTTAACATTAAATGCTGGACATAATCTTCTATAAGGGCAAGACTTACCACAACCAAAGCACACATAATCTTGTCTGTATTGCCTTGTCTCTTGTCTTTCAGGATAATTAGGGGTTGGTGTCGAATGAGGTGTGACTGCCATCACTTCTTGTTTTACAACAGATTTCATAGACTCTAAAAAAGATGAGAACATAGCATTAATATCTTGAGAAGTGCATGGTGTACTAGAGTTAGCACATTTAGCCACACTAGTATCTATTTCTAAAGAATTTCTGAGTTCTTCAAAAGTCTTTGGTGATTTTTGTATTACTGTTTGTTTTAAATTCGGTTGTAAACCATTAACTGCAATGTCAACAATAACAGCTTCTCCTAAATTTTCTGATCCCATAGCTAATTGTTGAACTCGAGCCAAATACGACTGACTGCTTTCTAAAATAGTTTGTTGGAGTTTATATATTTGTTGGTTTGTTTTTGTATTTGAAAATCTAGCTAAAAATGCTGCTTTTAATTATCTTTGTTGACTTTTGTATTCGCATCAAGGTTATGAAACCATAACGATGCATGTCCTGTCAGTTGTAATGGTAGAACTGACAATGCCTTATTATTGTCAACATTATGTAACGCTCTGTAGGATTCAAACAGATTCCACCATATTGCTGGCACGCAACAGCTTTCGTCACTGAATTTTTGTAAAGATAATCCTGAAGCCATTTCAGAGTCTAAATTGAAGTTAAATGAAATTATTGAGTTATCTGAATTTACTGAAATATTATCTAACTCTTCAATGTCTGATTCTTCTCCTGAATCAGTGTCATTTGATACAGTTGTTTAACCTGTGTCGTTATTTAGCATTACCAAACCTATATCCTGCTCAAAATTATCTGGGATACTTTGAACTGTATCTCAGTCTGTGTTCTGTCTTGAAAAAGCTCTTGTTGCTGGATGGTCTTTAGAATTTAATGGATTGGTTTCTTTCTGTTCTAGTCTTGATTTTGGCATAGGTACCGCTTGAATCTTTTGATGCTCCACCAATCTGTGAACTTTGTTGGGTTTGGTTGGACTGGGTTACTGAACTTGCTAGTATTTGAATGTATAGTGTGGGTGACCGTGTAATGCTTATATGTACTTGTGCTGGAACTGCACTGAACGGGAACAGCTTTGAATACTGGAAGAAGAACAAACTTGTATACAAATAGATGTTTATTGTTTGCTGGTCACCAATGCAAGTGTATAATGACAATACAATGAACAATGAACATACATAATAAAAACATACATATAGAAACATGAATAGAATTAAATATATCAGTAACCCTGGTATTTGAATATTGCGAATAAGAATAATTAACCCACCCAAAAGTATAGTTCTTTTTGGCATAGGTACCGCTTGTATCTTTTGATGCTCCACCAATCTGTGAACTTTGTTGGGTACGGTTGGACTGGGTTACTGGACTTGCTAGTATTTGAATGTATAGTGTGGGTGACCGTGTAATGCTTATATGTACTTGTGCTGGAACTGCACTGAACGGGAACAGCTTTGAATACTGGAAGAAGAACAAACTTGTATACAAATAGATGTTTATTGTTTGCTGGTCACCAATGCAAGTGTATAATAACAATACAATGAACAATGAACATACCTAATAAAAACATACATATAGAAACATGAATAGAATTAAATATATCAGTAACCCTGGTATTTGAATATTGCGAATAAGAATAATTAACCCACCCAAAAGTATAGTTCACTTTAAATGAATAGGGGGAAAATTAGCTCACTTGAAATAAATATGAATTTGTACTGTGGGTATGAAATAAATATGAATTTGAACGGGGGGAATGAAATTAAAATGAAGGGAGATAATTTGAATAGTATATTTTACAGTTTCTATGGAAACAATGCCAAAGTAAGTTTATCTCATTTAAACCTGCTTCTGAATAAACAATTAATGTAATTCTAAATCAAATAAAACAGTCAACCAAAAGCTATGTACAATGTGCCAGGTAAATATAACTGACAAACACAAAATAAACATAAATGCCAGAGCACCCCCTTTGTTTGCTGGTCACCAATGCAAGTGACAAAAAACGATTGTCCAGCTTTCAAGCTTGGTTTCCAGCTGAGGTTAATTTGGGGGAATTTCTTATGATTAACAAAGGAAAAACTTTAAATAATCATGTGGGGTACCTCGGCGTCACTTAAGGTAACGCTGTGAATCATGTAACTCGCATATGTCACTTAGAGACGGATTAACTAAATTGTTGAGAAGGAAATTGTACAAAATTATAAAATCCTTTATTTGTTATCTTTTGTGAAAAAGTATTTGTTAATTGACTTTGTAAATTCTTTATATAATGTAATTTTACCAAACAATGCTATGAAGATTAAAGCTACGAAACTATATCTTTCCATGTGAAATCAGATATCTGTAAAGTTATAAAACTTGTAAATGAACTTTTATAATAAAAATCATGAAAATAAGAATTTTTATTAAAACATATAAATATATACAATAAAACATGAAAAACTGAAACAAGAAGTGAAACGTGAATTTCCGCTGTCACATATTTATGAGAAGTCAAATATCAGGATTAATTTCACACTTGAAAAATCGGTTATTTGAAACCCACAGTATTTCATTTCAATCCAGGTAATGAAACCTGCTGTTACATGATGCGTTTGAATAAAAGTTGATATGGTTTCTTGTAGCTCGTTTATCCCTATTCAAAAGATTTAAGTGCATGTTTATTGATCCATTGGTGTAAAATCCTTTTATATATACGATGCACACCAGATATAAGTAGGTATACATACATTTCATTATAAAATGAATATGTTGTACTGCAGCATTCATATAGAAGAGCTACATTTCATGACATTTTGGCTATATTTCATTCCAATTATATGAACAAAAAGAAATTTGTGTCGTTAGACTGATGTCCCATTGATGAGTACTCTCGCATTTCTTTTTATCAATATGTAGGTTTGTCTAAAACTATATGACTAAATTCAGCATACAAACAATTGCCAATTTCGCCAAAAGTATAAAAATGGAGTGACACCGAACATAATGTGTGTACAAAAATAAACAAAACGTGGTTGTCTGAGGGAATACGACATAATGTGTGTACAAAAATAAACAGAACGTGGTTGTCTGAGGGAATACGAACCTTATATCTTGGATAAAATGTTTAAAAAAGAAGAATTTCCAAGGTTGTAATCAATCACTTTTTGACTGAGTCAAAGATTGATTGATTAATTGATTGATTGGTGTTTAACGTCACTTTCAAACAATATTGTACTATTTCATGACAGTCACATTTTATCGGCGGAAGCAGGAGTGCCCGGAGAGAACCACCGACCTTCGGTAGGAAAACTTACAATCTTTGTAGTCAATAAAGATTGGAATAGAGCGCACCTGCCACGTGCTGTATTCGAACTGACAACCTCAGTGTTGACAGGCTATTGATACAGTATTTGGACTCCTTAGACAACTCGGCCACCGATTTTTTTAAAACGGTTATGGGTTGATGTCTCATTGACCTTAACCAAACATATATTTTTATTTGTTTATGGAAATATATCGCGGTAAAATACTAAAAGTTATCTCAGTTTTTTTAAAACATTAAAAATACATCTCTTTTTTTTATCTCACTTAATCCAAGAAAAGATACCCTAAGATTTATAAATATGTACAACATGCAAATTGAAAGCATCTCAACATTTTCGTTAAATATATGACTAAAATACCACGCACTATTTATCTTTTTATCTGTAATAAACATCTGTTGTACTTGTCGTGTCGGAAATAAGTGTGAAGTAAAACGCATAAATTCTGATTTTTAATTTAAATGAGAAAAGAAATAGGCAAAAATACTATCAAAGATATCCTTAGTAAATACAAACGAACAGGCAAATATATAAGTTACACGTCGGAAAAAAAGGGGCTATCGTGTATTTTTTTACACCATATATTCCCTTTAAATATTTCTTTTTAAAACCTTTGGTCTTATTTATTCATCTTTTTTAGCTAAAAGAAACCAATATCATACACAAAACTAGTATCTCAATTGTTTGTAAAACAATTGAAAGGTCTTTCCTGTAAAAGTGATGTTTTTGTAATGTAATCTTTACGACCTTTCGTTTGATATACGACAAGCATACCTTTTGAACCTTTTCACTTTTTACACTTAATGACCCATTCCGCCAATATTTTCGAGATCAGAAGTATGATATTTGTAATGAAGACCAAATGACCTTTCATTTGCTATGCGACAACATCATTTTCTAGAAAGTTTGTTTTTTGCACTTAATAATCCCATCTTACTCATTTTTGGATGACAGGAATTTGATATTTGAAATGTACACATTATGACCTTTCATTTGATAAATGACAACCTTACCTTATGAGACATTGTATTTTTTGCACTCAATGACCCCACCCAACGCATTTTCGGGGGACGTCAATTTGATATTTGAAATGTACGCTTTATGGACTTACATTTGATATGCGACAACCTAACCATCTGAGAAGTTTTAATTTTTTGCCCTAAATGACTCCATCCTTCCCACTGGGATGAAAAGGGGGTTTAAAATTTTCATATTTGGGTAGGGTTCATTTAGACATTCAATTTGATATACTAAATGACCCCATTTGGCAAAGTGCCAAAAATGATCCAATATCAATTGTATAAATAGAAGTTATGAAACTTAAAAAGTCAATGTAAAACATGAAAATTTCAAATTGATTTATTTTTAAAGTTTTTCATTGAAAGGTTTTGGTAATTAGTCAAACATATAACCATGTTAAACTCTTGATTTTCTGAAAATTTCAGGTGGTAAGCTGTTGTTCATTCAGAAATACATGACTCCGCTCGCAAAGTTTCAAACTGCATTATCTCTAAAACGACAGCAGATATCTCAAATCTGCTAAGTGATAAATGATTTGCAGTTAAAGAACAACATTGTAGAAATCGGGACACTTCCAAGGTTCATCAAGGTCACAATGAATAATAAAATATATGATGCAATACCAAACTTGAGAACCGGAAGTCGTAGAGACATGAGATTACCACCATTCAACGCAGGACCACTTGACCTTTCAAATGTCACAAGGTCAAGGGTATAGTTCGCTTTGAATGTCAAGGTTAAATTTCATCAAGACCTGACATTGACCTCAAATTGAAGGTCTTAAAATACTGATCATGTTTGCTGTTTATAGTAGGTTAAAATCTGTTTTCTTTTCAAAGATATACACACAATACTATACTTTTATGAATTATCTCGTTGTAACTTTTGAACAGACGGTCGGACATTTTTGAGCTTAATGTATAAAATGTAGAGCTCGTCGAGAGGAACATTTTATACACAGTATGTATGCAGCAAACTCTTATCGTTTTCTTAATATGTAAGTTTGAAATTGCAGCGTAAATTTTTTTGCACTCAGTGACCTTTGACCTTGGGTGCAGATTAAAGGTCACATGAATTTAAGATTATTGGTGAAGATCCTAAGTCTCTACGACTTCCGGTTCTCGAAATAGAATTTTTCAAAAATTGTGCATAATTTTTTAAGGGAAACAACTCCTTATAAGAGTTGATAACAAATAATTGTTTATGTTTATTAACATTGCCATCAGTTCTTGTATATGTTGTCATTTTCAAATCGGTTCTATCTCTAATACTTTTTAAGATAAATGCAAATAAAAGAAATTGCTTCAAGGGGATATAACTCTCAAAGGGGATGATGAAATCTTACGTGCCCTCATATAGTAATACATCATGATGAGATCTACCTATTGTCCAAATAAGGTCATGAGATCTTCAAAAACAACGAGGGGGCCATGTTGAAAAAAAAAACAATAAAAGGAAGATAATTCTCAAAGAGGATGATGAAATCCTACGTGCCCTCATCTGGTAAGAGTTCATGATGAGGTCTATCGATGGTCCATATTTGGTCTTGATAGCTCCAATAGAAACGGGGGGAGGCCATGTCAAAAAAATGCTGGAAGAAAAAAAAACATTAGAACTAGTATCTCAATTGTTTGTAAAACAATTGAAAGGTCTTTCCTGTAAAAGTGATGTTTTTGTAATGTACTCTTTAAGACCTTTCATTTGATATACGACAAGCATACCTTCTGAAAATTTTCACTTTTTACACTTTATGACCCCATCCGCCTACATTTTTGATATCGGAAGTATGATATATGTAATGTAGACTTGATGATCTTTCATATGATATGCGACAACGCCATGTTCTAGAAAGTTTGATTTTTGCACTTAATAACCCCATCCACCTCATTTTTGGAGGACAGGAATTTGATATTTGAAATGTACACATTATGACCTTTCATTTGATATATAACAATCTTACCTTAGAAGACAATTTATTTTCTGCACTCAAAAACCCCACCCAACTCAATCTTATGAAACTTACAAAGTCAATGTAAAAGATGAAAATTTCAAATTGATTTTTTTTTTTAGTTTTTCATTGAAAGTTTCTGGTAACTAGTCAAACATATAACCATGTTTAAGTCTTCAATTTCTGAAAATTTCAGAAATACATGACTCCGCTTGCAAAATTTCAAACTTCATTATCTCTAAAACGACAATAGATATTTCAAATCTGTTAAATGATAAATGATCTGCAGTTGAAGGACAACATTGTAGACTAAATATGGGACAATTCCAAAGTTCATCAAGGTCACGATGAATCATCAAATATATGATGCAATACCAAACTTGAGAACCGGAAGTCGTAGAGACATGGGACTACCACCATTCAACTCAGGACCACTTGACCTTTCAAATGTCACAAGGTCAAGGTCATAGTACACTTTGAAGGTCAAGGTAAAATTTCATCATGACCTGACATTGACCTCAAACTGAAGGTCTTAAAAAACTGATAATTTTTGCAGTTTATAGTAAACTGATATCTGTTACCTTTTAAAAGATATGCACACAAAACTATACTTTAAAGAATTATCTCGTTGTAACTTTTGAACAGACGGTCGGACATTTCTGAGCTTAATGTATAAAATATAGAGCTCGTCGAGAGGAACGTTTTATACACAGTATGTATGCAGCAAACTCTTATCGTTTTCTTAATATGTTAGCTTGAAATTGCAGCGTAAATTGTTTTTGCACTCAGTGACCTTTGACCTTGGGTGCAAATTAAAGGTCGCACGAATTAAAGATTATTGATGAAGGTCCCAAGTCTCTATGACTTCCGGTTCTCGAAATAGAATTTTTTAAAAATTGTGTAAAATTTTTTAAGGGAAATAACTCCTTATAAGGATTGATAACATACTAATTGTTTATGTTTATTAACATTGCCATTTGTTACTGTAGATGCTGCCATTTTCAATTCAATTTTATCTCTTATACTTTTTAAGAAAAATGCAAATAAAAGAAATTGCTTCAAGGGGATGCAACTCTCAAGGGGGATAATAAAATCCTACGTGCCCTCATATGGTAATACATCATGATGAGATCTACCTATTTTACACATAAAGTCATGATATCTCTAAAAACAACGAGGGGGGGGGCATGTTGAAAAAAACCAATAAAAGGGAGATAACTTCTACAGAGGATGATGAAATCCTGCGTGCCCTCATCTGGTAATACTTCATGATGAGGTCTATCGATGGTCCATATTTGGTCTTGATAACTCCAATAGAAACGAGGGGAGGCCATGTCAAAAAAATGCTGGAAGAAAAAAAAAAAAACATTAGAAAAACAATAAGGTCTTTCCTAACGGAGTGGAAAGACCTTAACAATAAGGGGTTTCCTAACGGAGTGGAAAGACCTTAACAATAAGGTCACTAC